GTTGAACCGCTTCCCTGGCCTCGAACTCCTATGCGAAAAGTAAGACAGAGCCTCGCGATGCAGGTCCGCAGCGCCTGTTGCGAACGGAAGCCCCCTTGCTAGTTGCGAATGTCGCGAATCTGAAGTCTGGTTATGCTTCGCCCGCTCTGCCTGGTCGCGAACCTTCTAGAACCGAAGTCTCGAACTTTCTGCGCCGACTCCTCCGACTTAGTCGGCTCTTCCTCAGTGGCCAAACTCGTCTGCCAGAACGACGAATCCTCCTTATGCTTCGCCCGCTCTGCCTGGTCGCGAACCGTCTGGAACCGAAGTCTCTGCAAGTCCTCGAACTTTCTGCGCCGACTCTTCCGACTTAGTCGGCTCTTCCTCCGTGGCCAAACTCGTCTGCCAGAACGACGAATCCTCCTTCGTCACTGTGCCGATCTCCTTTGCCCCTGAACCTATCTCTGATATCACTTGTTGAGAAATTAGGGTGAAGAAAAACAGTAATCGACACAAATCCAGAAAAACACAGAGATTTAATGAGATAGGCAAAATGCCTATGTCATCGGGAGCAGAGCGGCGACTTTTCACTAATTCAAAAAAAGTACATAAAAAAAAATACATAATTCAGGGATTCAGAGATAATCCCTAGGGTTACATACAAACCTAATTTATAACCCTAGAAAGCACATAAAAAATAAAACTTGGGTACAATATGTAATTACCAAATTACCCATGTACCACACCCCAACCCACATAAGGATGCTCCCTTGATTTGGACATAATCTTCTGCTCTGCTCTGCTCCTGATTTAGCATTGTTCATTTATGATATATGGGTCATATCTAACATGTTCTTGTTGGAGGTGACCTTGTTGATATTAGATTTTTTCACAACGGCATAATGGATTATGGCATCTATTACTTGATATGAAAGTAGATTCTAATGGAAAATTTGTGAAAAAGATAAAATTGATCTTGCATGTTTAAAGGGGTAATCACTCGACATGTTATGGAGCTACATACATCACTAGAAGGATCTATCTAGTAATATGCTTGCTCCATACAATCTTTTGGGGTTAACATATTTGGGAGGTGATGGCTTACGCCATTAAACCCTTAGTTTGTCGGCACACGGCTTGCTAGCTTTCTGACACATGACATACTCTGATCTAGTGCACAACATATGACATTTACAAAATCAATGCAATATTTTTAACAATGAAAATATCTTTAAAAACTTTAACAAGTGATGACTTTTTTAACATTTTAAATGAGTAAAATAAATTCATAATTTTCAAAACCATGCATCACCAAAAAGTGAATTGAGAGCTACTTTAGATGCATGCCAACAATGCAATACATAATGTGCAATGTATGCACTTTTGGCGGCAATTAGCGTTATTAGTAGTGACAAAATTTGATTCTGAAAACTATAATTCTTATTATTCATGAAAGTAACTTTGCAAAATATGTTCATCTTTGTCATTTAGCTAAGCCCACAACTGCTATCATTCAAGCAAAATTTAACCCCACATCAAATATATCAATTCAAAAAAAATAAATAAAGAAAATTCCCTTCAAAATTAAACGAAAAATAAATGAAGCTTCGTTTGAAGGAGCTTTCGTCACAAAAAAATGACATTACAGCAAAATAATTTCATGAGAGGCCGGAAGACACTAGTTTACCAAACAAAAATAAATATGCAAGTGGCGTTCAGAACAATCAAACGGAGCATGAATGACTTTTCAAACTAAGCCTAAACTGCATTTTTCTTAAAGCATTAGACAGTTATTGCTATTTCACAAGATTGTATAAAACATAATTATTTCATAAGAACTCTACCTTAAATTCACTGCTGAATCTTACAAATGATATTTAAAGCTAACAATTCCTTAACAAAACCTGTTTATTGATTAATTGTATTGATGTTTCAATTGGAACGACACGGAAAAAGCCACACAGTAAAATCCTCTTCCAGGAAATGGCAAAAAATGAAGGCCCAGCTCTGCTCCCTTCTTTCCCACCTCAGGCCCCCACTTGCACTGTTTAGTACTTTCCAATTTCCCACCTTTTCTCATAACTAGTTAACCCTACCAAACAAAGCCACTCCTCATCAAAAGCAAAAAGGAGCCAATAGTAATTATAGAAACTCAGATTAAAAAAAAAACTTCAAAAATCAAATTTTTAATCGATTCATCTTTTGAAGGATTTCAAATCCTTCACCCTTCTCTGCTCAAATCCAATTATGAGGTTGCAGATTTTCAGCTGTTCACCAGTCACTTGATCGCTACAGGCACAAATTCATGACTAGAAACCAAACCCAAAAAAGATTACGTAAAACAAATTAAAAAAAAAACATCACAATCGAATTTTTTTAGCAAGATCTCTGTTCTAGATCCATCCTCCATGCCCCCTTCTGCTCAAATTCAACTACGAGTTACAGATTTCACACAACAAACAACATTGCAGAGCTTATTTTAAATGGAATGAAAATAAAAAATAAGGTTTTGCAACGTTACTGATTCCTTCATTTCCTCCTTTTGCTGTTCGCTTTGCAGAGGGAACAAAACTGTGATTTTTTTTCTTGTTGAAGCAGATAGATTCGGCAGATAATGAGCAATTAAGATAAGTCTCGCCATTGAATGAGCATAATGACGCAGCGTCGCATAATGTAGAATCTCGATCTCTGCTCCTTTACAAGATCGGAGAACCGCCGCCGGAAGGATCGCTCGACACTAGTGCTGGGTTTCATCTCCTCCGTATCTGCTGCTTTCCCGCTCTGCTTTTTCGCGAGTTTCCAGCTCTCCTCCATGCACAGCTCCGACTCCTTCAAGCTGCTGCAGAGAAAGGTTTTGGTCGGATTAAGAAAATGGTGGGGAGCAGGGAGAGTGGAATCTGCTTATCGGTTTAGGAATGAGCGTTAGTAGAGTTCCTGGTTTTATGCGAGATAAATTGGATGTGCCTTGTACTTTAATTACAAAAATATTTTTCATTTTATGTTGAATGGCTTAGGATT